ATCATCGTCCTCCCATTGTCGTCCATCATCATCATCCTCCCCCTCCTCGTCCTCCTCCTCCTCCCCTTCCTCCCCCTCCTCCCCCTCCTTGTCTTCCTCCTCCTCCTCCTCCTCTGTCATGCTGGATGGCCCCCATCTCTTATAGCATGCCACCACCACCACCTCCTCTTTCTCCACCTTCTCCTTACATCCTCTCTTTTTCCGCGTCCTCCTCGTCCCCTGTTTACTCCTCCTGCCTTCCCCTCCTTTGCCCAATATGACGGCAACGCAATCATTTTTGTTCCACTTTATGCTCCTCGACGTCTCTGATCAAGGCAACTCGCCAGGGCAAAGTTGCTGGACGGGCTGGTGTGGATGTGCGGGGCTTGAAGAGGTCGTTGCGGGCTCACAAAAATCCGCCGCCGCGCTTGTGCGGCATTGGTTTGTTCAGTGAACGTGGTTTGGGTCGCGGGTGGGACGCGGGATCTCCACCTCCACATGGAAGGAATACAAACGCAGCCCGCCGCAGGCGCCGAGAAAAAGGGTTTGTACACTGAACATGGTTTGGGTCGCGGGTGGGCTGCGGGTTCTCCACCGGGGGCGAATGCAAAAGATGCCCGCCGCAGGCGCCGAAAAAAATGTTTGTACCCTGAACGTGGTCGCGGGTGGGCCGCGGGCTCTCTACCTGAAACGAATGCAAAAAATGCCCGCCGCAGGCGCCGAAAAATGTGGTTTGCACCCTGAACGTGGTTTTGGTCGCGGAGTGGGTCGCGGGCTCTACACCTGGAAAGGATGCAAAAAACCCGACGCGGGCGCCGAAAATGGTGGTTTGTACCTTCAGCGTGGTTTGGGTCGGAGGTGGGTCGCGGGCGGGTCGCGGGTGGGTCGCGGGTGGGTCGCGGGTGGGTCGCGGGTGGGTCGCGGTGGGTCGCGGGTCGCGGGTGGGCCGCGGGGGTCGCGGGGTGGGTCGAAGGTGGGTCGCGGGGTGGGTCGCGGGGTGGGTCACGGGGTGGGTCGCGGGGTGGGTCGCGGGGCGGGTCGCGGGTGGGTCGCGGGTGGGTCGCGGGGTGGGTCGCGGGGTGGGTCGCGGGATGGGTCGCGGGGTGGGTCGCGGGTGGGTCGCGGGTGGGTCGCGGGGTGGGTCGCGGGGTGGGTCGCGGGTGGGTCGCGGGGCGAGTTGCGGGTGGGCCGACGACAACAAACAACAACAACAAACAACAACAACGAACAACAACAACAACAACAACAACAATTACTAGCACGTGGGGACATACCGTTCTCACCAGTGCCAGGGTTTTCATAGGAGGCGGGCAATACCCCCACTTTGTGGGGGGGCCGGTTCAAGCTCTACCAAATTTCCAAACGACTCTTCGCCACCACCCACACCCAGCTTCCCGCCCTATGACGTTCGGACACTTCACTTCGTGGCATGCGGACGACCGTGGCTACTATTCAGGGCCCCGCGGCCGACGACGACGGCGTGCGCGCGCGAAGAAAAAACGAATGTGTCCCGCATGGTATTATTTGACAGGGATGATGGCCCTGGCAGGTGCGCAACCGTTGTTGCAGAAGTTCGAAAAAGTCTCGCAAAAACCCGTTTGACAGAAATGATTAAAAAGTGTTGGGTTTCTTACGAATCCGCAAGAGCGCGCGGGATGAAATTTTGACATTTTTTTTTTTTGAAAAAACCATTGTTTTTTTTGGTGTTTTTATGTTAAAATCGCTACGAAAACTGAGGTTTTGGAAAGATTTCGTCTTGCGCGCGCGAGTGTCCACTTTACTTTATTTTTTGCAAGGGATTCTTGAAGTTTGGTTATATTAAAACAAGAAATGTCCACTTTAGCCTTTTTTTTTGCAAGGGAAAACAAATCGTAACAACACAACCGGATCCGGACCAACCCGTTTTGCCTGAGACTTCTCCACGAAAATGATGAAAATGAGGCTGCGGCCTAGGCGCGGCGGGGGGGTCGTGCACCAGGGGCCCCAACAATAATTATTCTTTAGAAGTAATCATGTTCAACAACGACAACAACAACACCAACAACAACAACAACAACAACAACAACAACAGCAGCAACAACAACAGCAACAACAACAACAATAATCCGCACCGCGGAATCCCACTTCAGCCACGCACCCAGGGACAGTGAATGACCGTTCGGCCCCCTCACTCTGATGTTGTTCGGTCCACGAAGATTTTCGGATACGCGCTGGACTCCGATGCCTGGGGCGCGGAGCGCGCCAGGGTCGGCGCCCGAGGCGTCGCCAGGGGTGTTTAGCGCAAATCCCACGAATTCGCCTGGACCGTCGACTGTTTGTTTATGCAACTGCTTCTTGTTCTTAGGGCAGGAGGGAGCAGGGGGGTCCCGACACCTTCGCGCTCCCCCCCTCCCGCCCAAAAAGGGCAGGAGGGACGGATACTCAAATGCCTGTAGGAGGAGTTCGTCGCCGTCTTGGCTTCAGGCTCACAGGTCAGCAAGGAGGTACGGGCGCTCAACTGCTTGCCGTTTGTCCCGGAGTGTCAGCCTGGTCCATGCTGCAATACATTGTTTAGCTCTCTCTCTCTCTCTGTCTCTCTGTTTGCGGTGCTTCCCCCGCCGGTCGTGATGAACTGGGGGTCGAGACATCCAGCATGTCGCCCATACCCAAGGAGGCCGCAGGGCGGGAGGGGACACACACGCCCACGCGTCGTGAACCAGACGGCTGGAGGTTTTTGGTCAGAAATTCTTCGGGATGAAACCTCTGGGGTTGGCGTCGTGAACAGGTCATGTTGTCAGTGGCCCAGGGAAGCGCAAGGGGGAGGCAGAAGTGCAGCAGCGCGACCAGGAAGAGGGGTGGTGACAGGGAGGAGGAGGATGAAGAGGAGAAGGACGAAGAGTAGGAGGATGAGGAGTAGGAGGAGGTCGACCAAAAAACAAACGACACCATCCCACGGCCCTCCATGTTGCGCTACGGTCCATCGAGCGCCGTAGCGTATACCACGCAGAAATCCATGCTGGATCTCCTGGTATACACTAAGCCCCGTGGGACCGTAGATGGAGTGGTGTTGTTTGTTGTCTGTTCCAGGAGGAGGAAGAAGAGAGGCTCGAGGGATTGGAACGTTTTCCGTCATTGTTTCATTGCTGGGCTCCCTGGAAGGGGCTGTTTTGGCCGGTGCTTGATTTTCCTCGAAGTTCTCGGAGCGCGCCTTTGGAGAAGTCCGGGGCCGATTTAAATTTGGGCGGGAAGTCGGAGGAAGAGGGGGAGGAGGAGGAGGAGGAGGAGGAGGAGGAGGAGGAGGAGGAGGAGGAGGAGGAGGAGGAGGAGGAGGAGGAGGAGGAGGACGAAAGGAGGAGGAGGCGGAGGAGGAGGAGGAGGACGAGGAGGAGGAGGCGGAGGAGGAGGAGGAGGCGGAGGAGGCAGAGGAGGAGGAGGAAGAGGAGGAGGAAGAGGAGGAGGCGGAGGCGGAGGAGGAGGAGGAGGAGGATGCACGGCGCCAGGGCGAGAGTTCCATTTTCAAAACGACCGGCCCTCTGTCCGTGCAACAGTTGGACATTGCGAGATGCAGGCTCCTAGGCCTCCCGGATGGGGTCGGAGTAGATGGTGTCGGAGGCGGAGGATCGCGCCGCATCGCCGGCGACGCATCGACGATGCATCGGCGATGCCGCTCGATGTGGGGCCCAAATCTTTCACGCCAACGTCGCCGATGCATCGCCGACGTCGCCAGTGCATGGCCGAGGCATCGTCCATGCGTTAGCGATGCATCGCCGATGTATTGGCGATGCGATGAGATCCTCCGACCCCATCTGGTCCCCATCCAGGATTCAGGAGGCATCGAAAGATCGTAAACGGCGAGGACGTCTCAGGCCAAATATGCGCAGCCCTGCGAGCAGAGGCCGTGCATCGGGAGAGCGGCGCTGGCTCGAATGCGTCGCAGCTTCGCTGGCCCCCTCCCTTCGCTACCCTCGCCTGCTCTGCGTGGGACGTGCGGCGCCACGCGCATCGCCGGGCCGGTTCCAATGCGATCAATTTGGTTCGATCTAGAGGTAAGCCAGGCAGGTCCCTCTACAGGAGGAATATTCAAGAGTAGTAGAAATCAAGAGAGAACAACCCACCCCCACCTCACCACCCACCAAACCACCCGACCAAACCACCCTCTATTTCCAGTGGGGGGGTCCAGGAACATCGAAAAAACACATATGGAGCCCATACCCCCTCCAACCCGAAATTCGGGTCTTCGGGTTGGGTTGGGGTGGTCTGGTAGGTAGTCTTCACCGCACCCACCAGGCTGATTTTTACATTTTTACCAGAACGCTTGCGGAGTTAGTCGGCACGCCCCCACGGCAACGATTGCGAATCGCGACGTTTCCAGTTTTACAAATCATGTTATGTAAATCCGTCTTCGTTTTTTGTGTGTTTTGCAAACGCGTTTCTGCGTTTATAGAATTGTGCCGTTGCACTTGCGCGATGGCGCTCTTTGAGCAACGTCCCAGGGAATTTCGTGTTTGGTAGCTTTGTATTATAAAGTTGTGGGTGGTTATGAGACGCGTTTTTTTGTTTCTAATCATGTTTTCCCGGGCCTTCAGCGGATGCATCTTTCGCAAGTTGCCATGGGCCTCTCTTGGGGCATCTGCAGCTGACGACGATCGCCAGGCCACAGTCTCTAGAGAGAAGCTTTGAACATATAACATGTGATGTGGTGGGTGTGGGGGTGGCTTGGGTCGCCTTCAAACATTAGTCTGGGGACGATTTCCTAGTATGTTTGAAAATTGTTGCGTATATTTTGGCTGTTTTGAATTTGTCTTCAAGAATCCGCCTGGAGGGGGGCATGCCCGACCTAAATCGATCCGAGTAGACTTGGATGACCTAGAGATCCGATGCGGCCCGGTGCTTGCATGGGCTCTGTCGACTCTCCTGGCGCGGCCTATCCGACTCGATATGGGATCGTGCCGATGCAGCCCGAGTCGGCGCATCCGATTCGATCTTGTTTGACGGTTCGACGTTGATTGGCCCTGCACCTCGTTGTCGTCGTTTTCTCGGCCATGGGCGCGGTGCACGGCGTGTACGCTAAGTACGTGGGGCTGAGCGTTGGCAGCCTTGGCACGTTTCTCTGTCTCAAGCCCGAGGAGGTTGCGCATGCCGAGCTCCCCCTCCTGTGTGTTCTGGTCTCTCTGCTGTACGCCAGTTGCCTGAACGCGGTCATCGCGGCTCTCTTTCGGCTGGAGTCTTGCATGGGGATCCTCGGCAAGGACGAGTCGACCGGCGCTGTGCCAGCGTGGTCTTATGTCTTGTTCGCGCCATTCCATTTGCCGACCTTCCTGTACACCGCCGCGTCGCGCCAGAGGGATGCGGTCACGGGCGTGAGCGTTGCCGACGAGGTCGCGGCGGGTTGGTGGCTGGGTGGACGCTATGCGAGTGAGCTGAGGCGGCAGTGGTCTGGCATCATAGATCGGGCGACGCCAACTGACCACCTCACCGATCGCAGGGTCCATTCGGATTCGATCGATCCGATTTAGTGTCGTCGGCTCGATTCGACTTCTGTGTTCCAGCGATCCGATGCGGCACGATGCTCGCATGGAGCTGCTGTGCATCTTGACGTGGCCGATCCGGTTCGATTTTGCCTCCGTGCCGATGCGCGATGCAGTTCTCGAGTGCGATCCTGGGTCGTGGCAGGGCCCACTGGGCCCTGCATGGGTGTAACGCCTTCCTGGCTTGGCCAGGAAGGCGCGCACACCGATCCCGTGCCCTTGATTCGGCGCCACCCCAACATAATTACTAATACTATGTGTTCGTCGCCCCCCCCAGGGGCGACGCGCGCACCGTGAAATCTTATAGTATATGCGTCGTGGCGGGCGCGTTCTGGCCACACCGCTCGAGGAACGATATGCTACAAGATGGTTGTACTATCAGTTCGGGTCGGACGCGCGCCTCCAAGGAGGACATGCAGTGTATGAGTACGCCTCTGTGCGCCCCGTGGATCGACCTGGGCGAGGATCGGCGACGTGGCCGCATGGCGTCTCCCGGCTCGGACCTGACCTGCGAGTTCCCGGAGCGGTGTGCCGGCAGCGAGGGGCCCGGCTCGTACCTGCTCCTGCGCTGCTGGGACGGCGTGCCGCCCACGCCGCAGCAGCTGGAGGAGGCCGCCTCGTTCGCCCTGAGGATCGGGTCGGAGGAGGGGGGGGGAGCTGGTGGCAGGGCAGGGGAGGGAAGGAGAGGGGGGGAGTTGGGGGAGGGGGAGGGGATACAACAAGCACAAGACACACACACACACACGAATATACTTTGAAACCCGGTGCTTTTGTTTCGAACAAGAATCAACATATTAGTAACAAACAACAAACGAGGAAACAAACAACAACAACAACGTGGAGAGGGCGGAGCAACTTCTCCCACAGGGTCAGGGGACAAGGGAGAGCAGGGTCCAGATCGGGCCAATGTGGAGGACCAGCGGGTTACCACCACCCACCAAACCGCCCCAACCCAACCCGAAGGCCTCAATCTGCCCTCCATTTCCAGTAGAGGGGTGGGGGGTCGGTGAACAGGGAAGAAACACGGGACCCGTACCCCCCCTCCGCCCAACCCGAAATTCGGGTCAGATTCGGGTCTTCGGGTTGGGTTGGGGTGGTTTGGTAGGCAGTCAAGATCTCCTGCGTGAAGCTGGTTTCGTCGCCGCCGCCGGGCTTATTGCTCTGCATGGCGCCCGACGCCGGGAGAAGCAGCCACGCGGGGTGAATCGCTGATTCGTCTAATCTGCTGCATGAAGCTGGTTTCGGCCTCACCGAGGGGCCCATTCCTCGATACGCTGCCGCCTCCGACGCCGGGAAGCGCCAGAAAATCAGCTACGTGAGCCGATTCTCAAGCCCCCCCTTTGCTATCTCCCCCTTTCGCCCGACCCGAAAGTTCCAGTGGAGGTTCTATGCGTCTCAGAAGAGGTCTGCAGGGCTGTTTTTGGGCGCTCTGGGAGGTCTCCGGGGCGGGGGTTGGTTTGTACCCCTTGACCACGGGGGGGATCTGCGGGGCCCTCGGCAGGCGGTGGGCATGGACACATTCGGGCCATGGGGCCCCAGGGGCCCTGGAGATCGACAGGAGGGGAGACAACACACAGACACAATTCAGCGTCGATTCACCCGGAAATGTGGGAAACTATGGGAAGTGGGGGGGAAGACAACAACCCAGAAAACATACGAAAATACAAGGAGTCCTGTCATGTGTGTCTGTTTATCTGTGTGTCCCGGGGCCCCTTCAATGATACGTGGGCGGTGGTCCCCCGCTCCGCGGCGCTGGCGCCTCGGAGTGGAGCGGCGCCCTTCTCTGCTCCTGCGCGCGCGTGTTGGCAGGACGAAGGGCCAATGACTCGCCAGGTCGCGACCGATGGAGGAGGAGGAGAAGGAGGAGGAGGGGGAGGAGGAGGAGGAGGAGGACGAGGAGGAGGAGGAGGAGGAGGAGGAGGAGGAGGAGGAGGAGGTCCCAGCTGCTCTGCGGCGCTGGCGCCTCGGAGTGGAGCGGCGCAGTCGGGGCAGCGCCTCCCCCGTGCTCCCGTCCTTCCTTGGTTTCTGCGCGCTTGCGCGCTGGCAGGACGAAGGGCCACTGACCATGTCGGCTCGGGCCCGTCTGACAGGGCGGCACCGCTGCCGAAGCGCAACCAGAGCGCCCGAGGAAAAGGAAACGAGCGGTCCCACGAGGGAACTCCTGTGGAGGCCTCGCGTGGCGCGCCAGGTAGCCGCATCCTCCGGCCCGCGCTCGCGCCGTCGGGCACGGGAGGACACTCGCGTGGCGCTGCTCCGACGCGCGTCCGAGGTCACCCGCTGCGAGCCGGCGTAAGTCCGACGTGGATCCGGCGCACGCGCGGGCCTCGAGCGGCCGCGCGAGGCCTCCGGGCTTCTCGCCATCAGCGCGAGAGCAGCGCCATGTGTTGTTCGGAGGTTGGTAGACCTCCTACGCTGACACGTCGATTTAGGATTCGGCCGTTTTCGGTTCGCGGGAGGGCGTCGCAGCCGTCATTTTTGCGGGTCCAGGTCCGTCGGTTTCGGTCCTAGGCCGTTTTTGCTAAGGGGAGGCTTACTAACGGGAGGTTTGTGCATCGCCGAGTTGTGCCTGTCAGGGCGCGGTCACAGGGACCACGCCGGGCTCACGAGGGGCTCGGGTGCTCGGGCCGTGCCTCGGGTCTTGGTCGGGGGGGAAAAAGCGATTCGTGGACGAGGCCCTCAGGATGGAAAAGAACACACACACACAGACACACACAGACAGGATTCATCGTCGATTCCCCAGAAGATCTGAAAAATATGGGAAGTGGGGGGGAAGACGAGGATGCAAGAGAGATGGGGAAATGTGGGGAATCCTGTTTTTTTTCTTTGTTTGTGTGTGTGTGTGTGTTTGATTGTGTGCCCCTGGGCCCCCTTCCTGTAAAGAAAAAGGCTCGAGGCTCGTGGACGGGGCCCGCCGGGGCCAGGAGGGCCCCCCCGGCGCTCCTCCCCTCGGCGCCCCTTTCCGCTCGGCATCGCTCGGGCCTGGCACTCTGTCCCTGACGCGTCGACTACTCCAGGTTTCGCCATAAAAGGGAGGGGGTCTCAACCCTCCCAGACGAGAAGTTTTAGACCCCCCCCGTGGGAGAACCCTCCAAAACATCGTCCCCAGACCCCCCCAGGCCCTCCAAGATACCCTGGAAGAGACCCCCCCCCGAAATGAGACCCCCCTCCCTTTATTACGAAATCTGGAGTAGCGAATTGTGCGTTTTCGGTTCGCGAGAGGCCGTCGCGGCCGTCACTTGTGCGGATCCAGGTCCGTCGGTTTCGGTCCCAGGCCGTTTTTGCTAAAGGGAGGGGTACTGAAGGGAGGTTTGTCCACCGCCGAGTTTCTCGGCGGGGATTGTGAAGGAGCGTCCTGGATCATCCCGCGAAACAGCCACGCGCGAGACCGAAAAAAGCACAGGGAATGGACGTCCGAGCGAATTCCAGCAGCGCCGTGACCGGACTCTGCGGCGGCTGTCTCCCTACAGTGCCGTTTTTAATACATGCTCCGCGTGCGGATCATGTTTTAAACATGCAGGGATTTAGTATTAAAAACAACGATGAGTTCATGCATACATGCATTCATGAATTAATCATGTATTTAAAATCCGATGTGTTTGCAAACCCTATGTATCAAGAATTGCCCTGTACGTAGTCGCTGGCCCCGAGGAGGAGGCCCAAGGGCGACGTCGTGGTGCACTGCGCCCACGGGCGCGGGCGCAGCACCACCGTGATGTGCGCGTGCCTCGTCAAGGCCGGGCTCTTCGAGTCCTGGCCCGAGGCGTTCGACGCGATCTCGGTAGCGCACACCAGGGGGAGCTGAGACACGAGGGGTAAGTCGGGCGTGGCCCTCTACGGGAGGAGTGGTCAGAAATAGTAACAACATAGTCTGGGGACTATGTTCCGAGCATTTTAGAAGGTTCGGTTTATGATGTGTTTCATCATTTGTTTGTTTCCTTCGAAGCTCCGCCTGCAGGAGGACACTTTTCTGTTTAGTACTCGTTTTGTTGTTCTTCGAAGCTCCGCCTGTAGAAGGACATGCCCGACCCCACCACGCGGAGGGGGGCGGGGTGAGGGGGGGGCGTGGCTTGCGGAGGCCCCGGAGGAGCGCCACTGGAGGCCAAGGGCCCCTACCTCTGAGTCGGGCCTGTCCCTCTGCGGGAGGACTACCGAAAAATAGGCATAACATAGCCTGGGGACGAGTTGTTTGAATATTGTCTGACTGTTCTTGAATATTTTGAGCATGTCTCTGCTTTTTCGTCCAAAGTCCCCGTGTAGGAGGACATGCCCGACCTGACACTACCTCCTCCTGGCAATCGAAGATCTCAGAGAAGGAAGAGGTACCGACACCGCTATCGCAGGCCTTGAGGCTGACACCAACACCAAGATCGGCGGTGTGTCTCCACCGAGTGAATACGATCCCGATCTCGGTCATGGTGGTACTATTCTGGCTTCCGAGGCGGCCGAAATATCACCAACACCGAAATCTAGGATCGTCTTCCCCATGTGGAGGCAACCCCCTGTGCTGGTGTTGGTGCCAATTTCCAGGCCTCCAACGCTACCCTTCCCTCGTTCTCCCCTTCCTGCGCCTGCTGGGAGGCCCTCGTCGCCACCGCCGGATTCGCCTCGTGATCCTCTTCAGAACGCACCCCAGGAGAGGTCGGGGAGTAGCGGTATCGGCATCTTTTGGTTTCCCAAAGATCGAGGAGGAGGGAGCATCGATCGGCGGCGAGCGAGGGGAGGAAGTGAGAAAAAGGAGGCTTTCTCAAACGGCGGGGGGACTTCTCAGAAGCCCTCGCGCCTTATGCGAGGTCTTCTGTTTCTCTGGGGATGGCTTTTAGAAAACTCCTCAGAAGGTCTCGGGACTTGCGAGCCCTCTGAGAAGGCCCGCCCTTCATCACTTCCCCCCGTGTGCGCCGCCGAACGAGGATGTATTGCACGTTGTGGACCGATGATCGAGGATGTCTGGATGTTGGGGATGTTTGGATGTTTTCGAGGATCGAGGATCGAGGCCGCCCCCGAGGCATCGAATAGCGATGATGTTGAGGATGTTTCTGGATGTTTTCGGGCGTCCTCGGGCGTCATGGGGTCCAGGGGGGCTCTTGGTCCTGGCGGACCCGGCGGCCCCTCTAGGTGGCGCACCCCTCGGTGGCACTTTGCTGGAGGTCTCCGACAGAGGCTACAAGACTTGGCATCGCTCGGACGTGTATTTTTTTTCGGCCGAGGACCGAGTCCGGGCATCTAGATACGTGAGACTCGCGCTCTTCATGATTCCCTGGCGATGTTTGTGCCGAACAACTCTGTAGCTCATCTGCAGCTAGCGGAAATCATGATCATTTTTTTTTTTTTATATATATATATATATAAAACAGCAGAGTACGAATAGTGCATTGGTACGAGCTCTGGGGAACGTCCTGGATCATCTTGCAAAAGAGCACGCGCGACACTGAAACGTGCACGGGGGAGGGGCGTCCGAGCGATGGCGAGAAGAGGAACACGGAGGAGTCCCACTGGGGGGCGACGGGAGCCCGACCCGCAGCTGGAATCCTCCTCCTCCTCCTCCTCCTCCTCCTCCTCCTGCTCCTCCTCCAGTCCCGCAGCCGTTTCGCCCGAAACGCTCGCACACTGCAGTGCAGGAGTCGTGGTGCCAC